AGTTGGCGCCATCATTCCACTCTTCCCGGGAGAGACAGATCAGTCACCGGCTTCTGAACGGCGGCTCACAGCAGCTGCTGGCCGCTCACGCTGGCTGCCAGCCACACACGGCAGCCCATGGCAACCCACTGCAGCAGGGGCTGCAGCCTACGCCGTCGCCTGCGACTCATGGCAGCCCAGCTCCAGGTTGAGCTGTTGTTCAGCATCTTAGCTGTGGAGAGCAGTGTCACTGGCCCTCATATGTGGGATCCGAACTGGGGCCCTCTGGCGTTCCAAGCCAGCTCTTAACCAACGTGCCACTTGGCCAGCCGGAAAGGTTATTTTTAGCTTGGTACATTGTAGCCCCCAAATAATCTCAGGGTTCTGTTCAATGGAAACAAGGAGAGAATAGACCTAGGGTAGGCAATCAGCAGCCTCTACCATCTTCTCTGAGTAGGTACTATGTGTCAAACCCTGGCTAAGCACTGGGGACACCAGGTTGAAAGCCACAGCTCGCACAGCAGAAAGATACCGAAGTGGTTGTGAAACCCAATGCAGCTGGGCCTGGTTCCAAAGTGAGAAAATCAGCTTCTGGTTCCTTACAGCTCCTCTAGGCCTCCCATCCTTCCTGATCCCATGGCCCAAGGATTATGGGAAGAATGTGTGATTAACACCAGTAACAGTTTCAGGAGGCACCCAAGAGATGTTCTGAAGAGGAATATGTAACTGGCACATCTGGTTTATAATGTATATTAATCCCTGACATGTAATTTGAGTAATATATGTAAAGCAAAAAGTCCAAGGGCTGATTTAGGAGCCTTATTATTACCCTGTCAGCAGAATTCATGTTCTATTTGCACAGCGCTCTGGGCCCAGCATCTCATCTAGGGCAGCAGGAAGGAGAAGGCTTTCTGATGGATGCCAGCTGATGGTGGAGGCCCTGCTGATGGGGATGGGACATTAGTCAAGTGCTTGGAGCCCCTAGTAGGATTGACAGGAACTCATCTTGGCACAGAGGACTGTGGAACTAGACCAAGTTCCAGTTGGGGCTAGGGGCAGATCCACGCCTGTCACTCAAAAGAAGAAGTCTAGAAAAGTGTGGGCTTTGTGGTTCAAAGCTAGCTCTGCCACTTTCTCACCATGTGAGACAAGTTGCTTCAGGTCTCTAGCCTCATTTTATCCCATCTGTACACGGGAATCATAATAGCACCTATCTAACAGAACTGTTGTGGGGTTTAAACAAAAACAAACAACAAAAAATTAACCAGATACTGAGCATTTATGATGGGCCAGTAGTATTCCAAGTGTTTTACATGTATTATCTCATTGAATCCTCACAGCAGCCTCATGAAGTAGATAATGACCCCCAATTCATAGTTGAAGAAAATGAGGCACAGAGAGGTGAAGTAACTCACATAGGTGGTGACTGGAAGGGCTGGGGTTCAAATCCAGTCAGTTCAAATTCCCAGAGCATGCCCCCTGAGATGCTTCAACAGACTGCTATATTTTACGGGAAGCACTCAGTGAGGGGTAATTCTCTAGGTGATCAATGTCCAGAAGAACTTCTTGTGATGAAGGAAATGTTTTATAATTCTGTGCTGTCCAATATAGCAGCCAATGAGTCACAGATGGCTATTGAGCATTTGAAAAGTGGCTAGCTTGACTAAGGATCTGAATTTTAAATTGCATTAAATTTTAATTTTAATGTAAATAGTCACTGTGGTGAGTGGCTACTGTATTGGATGAAGAGTTCTAGGCTCCCCCACCCACTCTGACCCGGGCTAGCATGGTTTAAACCCTTCACATCTGTTGGGCTAGATCAGCGGTTCTCAACCTGTGGGTTGCGACCCCTTTGGGGGTCGAACGACCCTTTCACAGGGGTCGCCTAAGACCATCGGAAAACAAAAAGATATTTACATTACGATTCATAACAGTAGCAAAATTACAGTTATAGAGTAGCAACGAAAATAATTTTATGGTTGGGGTCACCACAACATGAGGAACTGTATTAAGGGGTCGTGGCATTAGGAAGGTTGAGAACCACTGGGCTAGACCCTCGGGGAGATCTGTGGCCTCCCAAGTAGGGCTTCAGTAATAGGGTTGTATGAGCTGAATAGGGAGGGTGTTGGTTCAGCCCTTTCTGGTGCCAGTTAGAATATGTTCTAGAATTCAGAATGCTGATCCTTTAAGATGAATGGGGGCTCAAGATCCCAAGCCTTTGGCAGTGGGCTCCAGGATCCTAGACACTGTCCCAGTCAATGAGATTTTATGACAGACATGGTCCCTACCCTCCTGGAACTGGCAGTTTATTGGGGGAGAAGGATATTAAACAAATGACTACTCTGTTAATTATTTAATAATAATTAATTAAAGTCAAACCTGAGTGTATGCCAATGTCACAAGTGATAAAATGGCTGTTAGAGAAAGTGTCTTGGGAACCCTCAACAGAGAGAGTAATTAGTTGTGTATGGGGCTTTAGGAACTGGATTAGTCAGAAAAGTATCTAGAACAGAGGAGAACCTTGAACATGGTCTTAAGGAGTTGGAGATTATAAGGGTGATGTGTGCAGGAAGGGCATTCCAGGCAGAAGGCACAGCATGGACAAAAGCACAGAGGTGTGACAATATTTCAAGAGTTCAGACAAAAGAGAGCATCATGTAGATATCCAGGAGAGGGATTGCTGGGTCATATGGTAATTCTATTCTTAATTTTTTTCTTAATTTTTTATGCTCCAATGTTTACTGCAGCTTTATTTACAGTGGCCAAGACATGGAAACAACCAGTGTCTTTTGATAGATGATTGGATAAAGAAGATGTGGTGTATATATACACAATGGAATACTATTCTACCATAAGAAAAAATAGTGCCATTTGCGACGATGTGGATGGATTTTGACATTATTATGCTAAGTGAAATAAGTCAGACAGAAAAGGTTAAGAATCATATGATTTCACTGATATATGGGATATAAAACTGAAAACAACAAAGGAACAAGACAAACAAATAAACAAAAACTCAGACACAGACAATAGTTTAGTGGTTACCAGAGAGTAAGGGGGGGAGAGTGGTAGATGAGTGTAAACGGGATCAAATATATGGTGACGGAAAGAGAACTGACTCCAGGTGGTGAACACACAATGTGATATATAGATGATGTGTTACAGAATTGTACACCTGAAACCTATGTAACTTTACTAACCATTGTCACCCCAACAAACTTCAATTAAAAAAAAAAAGGAGAAGAAAAGCATCATGATTCAAGGGCCAGTGAGAGGTTGAGCCTAGAAAGATCAGCTGGGGGCCACATTGTGAAATGCCTTACACACCATGCTGAGCTGCTGGCCTTTATGCTAGGGGTGAAAAAGGTTTTTAAGAAGAGAGCAGTTATATTCGTTTTAAAAAGCAAGTTAGGCTGTACTGAAGAGTGTGGAGCTCTGCTGTTCTCTAGCTGGGTGAAGTCTCCTTTTGGTCTCTCTGGTTCCACTCTTGACCCCTCCAATCCATTCTCCACACACTTTTTTTTTTTTTATTTTAGAGGGCAGTATCACTGGCCCTCCTATGTGGGATCCGAACCGGGGCCCTCTGGCATCCCAAGCCAGCTCCCAACCAACGCACCACTCGGCCGGCCCCTGCACACACTTTTTGTAAGTTTTTCATCTTGTTCGAAAGCCACACGTTGTATATATCTCTCTTACTTTCCCCCTTCCCCGTCCACCTCTTCTCACCTTCTGGGAGTCACTTTAAGTTGTTTTGTGTATATCCTTCCAGGTTTCTCTATGCATGCACATACGCACAGTCTTCTGACCCTTTTTTCTTTCACTTAACAGTGAGATCTTTCCGCATCAGTGTAGAGAGCAGCCTCATTGTCTCTCCGTTTTTTTACATAAAACTTTTGTAGATTCACATGCAGTCATAAGAAATAATACTGAGAGATCCATGTATCATTTATCCAGCTTCCCCCAATGGTGACATCTTGCAAAACTATAGTACATGATCACAGTCAGCATATTGACATTGATATAGTCAACATACAGAAGAAGGATCTTGTGTGTTGCCCACCTTGCCCGCCACTGCTTTCTCATCTTCCCTTACCCCTGGCAACCAATCTGTTGTGCACTTCTAAAATTTTGTGATTTGAAGGATTCTATACAAATGGAATTTTACAGTATGTAACCTTTTGTGATTGACTTTTTAATTCAGCACGATTTCCTGGAGATTTATTCAGGTTGTTGTGAGTATTGGTAGTCTGATCCTTTTCATAGCTGACTAGTATGCCATGGTATGGACATACCACAGCTTGTTTGACCATTCACACCATTTGGCTAACCAGAACATATTTCTCTCCTAGTGATGGCTAAATCACGAGAGAGCATGCCCAGCTGCACAAGCATATATTTCAAGCCCATTGGCCAAAGCAAGTCTCGTGGCCAAGCCCAAAGTCAAAGGGTAAGGAAGTATATTCTATCCGTAGAGATGGAGGGGAAGGGAAGAGATATTTATCTAATCTATCATCTATCAAAAGCCCATGGTTCCTCTTCTCATTATTTTTTACTCCCATAGGACCTCCAACCCTCTTTTCAAAGTCTTCCCATATTCTCCCTCCAATCCCAAAGTATCAAAGTACAATTAACCCTCAAAATGATGGGCTCCTCCCCCACCTCCTAGAACAGGGCTTTAGAAAAACCGACACTAATTTTTCTCAATTAACAAACATTTCTTCCCAGTAATAAAAAAGAGATAAAGCTCATGCCTCTAAGCTCCCTCCTCTGTCCACCAGGCTGGGCCCTGCTCTTGGAGGAATTGACAAATAACCTCAGTGCTTTATGTTATGCTTTTACATGCACATGAGGCCTTCTGTTTGAGAGGAGATAAGTACTGTGCAATTCCTCATAAAGAATGGATCTGTTCTAGTTTTTATGGTTATATAAGGTTATAAAAAGTAATAAATTAATTTAGAAATGACTCAGAAAAGAGAGAGAGAATAAGAGTCAGAACAATAGCGAGTGTCTTTTCTTTTTTATTTTTTTGCCGCCTTATATAGTGTGACAGAACATACCTAGGGCCTGGGCTTTACAAGGGGGTTAAATAATAAATACCTGACTCAGCGTTGTGTTATGGCAATACCTTTTCCTCAAAGCTGCTCTCCGCTTTATCCTTAGAGTGTGTGTGTATGTGTGGTGGTGTGTGTGTGTGTGTGTGAAAAGAATAATTAAGCAGGGGATATGTGTCCCCTAGGAGTCCCCAGAGGATCAGCTATTGGCAATCATCCTTATGTGGCCCTTCTTCTCTTGTCCTTGTCCCTGTCTGTGAACATCTGTTGCCTGGGAGACCACTTGAAGACTCTTCATCTTTTCCATTGTTGGGGATACCTGTATTAGTAAAAAATTCTGTTGTTGGAAGTGATAGAAACCCAATTCTCACTAGTTATAAAAAAAAAAAAGGGATTTATTGGCTCACATAACTTAACCATCAACAGCACAGGGTAGAGCTGAACCCATTGATGACTGGATTCAGATATCTAAATGCATCAGGCTCTTCTCTATGCTGTTTTTTTCTTTTTTGTTTACTTTTTATTTTCATCAATTATTTTTTTCTGCTGCTCTTCTCTTGTTGGAGCCATTCTCGCCCATCACAGATGGACTTTCTCCACAGGGAGGGGCATGTGGCCTCTGGCAACTCCAGAATCACAGTCTTCCAGCTGTAGCAACTCCTGGAAGATACAGAACATTTCCCCATTAGCTCTGGTGTAAACAATTCCAGAAGTCTCTAACTGGCCTGGCTTGAGTCACGTGATCATGCCCTGGACCAACCACTATGACTCCATTTCCAGAATAAAGGTGGGGAGCACCTGGCATGGCCACTGGGGATTCATTGGAAGCTATGCAACTACTTTAATTTGTATGAACTATAGTGCTCCTTATGAGAACTATGAAGTTGGTACGAAGCCCTTACCCCAATCTATGCCTTAGGAGGTCCATCTATACAGTGGCGGGGGTGGGTTGATCTAAAAATCTTTCCTACATGGATGTTCTATGACCATGACATAAAATCACACACTATTCCAAGGGGCAGCTTCTTCTCACACTCTCTTTGGGGCCCTCTGGATTTGGCCTCTGTGGATCAGTGGGTTGGTCAGGTTTAATGCTACAAGGGTAGCTGGACTGGGATAAGAAGCTGGACAGCAGTTGCCCACCTCTTTTGGGCAGTGTTGCTGAGAAATATGGTCACTCACTGTCCCTGGGCCCCTGGGTGGGCTGGTTACCAGCGAACTTCACCATAATTGTGACTGTTTAAAGCTTGGGGGCATTCTGACCTTGACATGAGGTTTGGGACTCAGTCGTGAGTTCTAGAGCTATGAGTAGTTCTGCCATGCCACTGATCACAATTCCTTTGTCATGCCTTTGCCTCTTCTTCAAGCTCTTCCCAAGCATTTCTCTACTCACCCAGAAGCCTTCGTGAGCAATGTGGAATTTTCTGAAGATTAGCATTCTGTCAAAAGACTGGCAACTAACTGTACATTTTACTAACTGTTTAAGGTATGTATGCATCATACCATGATTAATCCACATTTGAACTAATATTTTTGATGCACTGATCAAATATCTGTCTTGATAACATGATAAAGGGGCTTTGTCCATATTTGTTTATTGTCTATCATCCCCCAATAGAATATATAATGGATATGACATTTAAAAAATATTAAATGTATGGTGTCTTAAGAGTTCCCTCAGATGCAAACCTTGGGACCAGATTTTGAGATCAACTAGTTTATTTAGGGGATGATCCCAGGAAACACCATTCATAGAGTGGGGTGTGAGGCAGGGAAGGAAAAGCTGTCAATAAATCATGTGTGATCAGGTAATTTAACCACTGTGGGCAAATGAAACCTAATCTCACTGAGGAACTCTGAGAGACAACTAAGAACATTCGTCAGAGTTATCCCAGAGTGATGGGTGAGGATACTGTGGTCACCATCAACTCCCCATCAGTCACTGGTTGAAGGATATTTCTGTGGGCATTACTTTGCCAGTATTTCTATCTTGCATGAGTCAAGTGTGCTCCTGTGGCAAGGGCTTTTGGGTCATAGTTGCACCAATTAGCGTTGGAGCATGACTTGAGTGCTGAAGAGTATTGACCTTAAACAGTCAGCCAAATATATCTTTAGCAAAATGGGTTTATTCTAGAACAACAAAGAATTGCAATTCAGGGCATGTGGTTTAATGGTGAACTACAAGCAAGCCCAGAAAAACAAAGGAGGAAAAAAAAGCTCTTTTATGGACTTGGGAAGGGCTGTTGTAAATGAAGGGTCCACTGGAGGAAACTCAAAGTTTGAAGTACAGTGACTTTTCATTGGCTGTTATGGCAGTCTCCCATTGGCTGGGCTGTTACTGGGGCAAGGTGGAATGTAAATCATTTCCTGTCAGAGATGGTATGTCCGTTCCTGTTGGGGTCAGTGGTGTGTGCTGAGTGACACATGCATAAGAATTCTCTCTTCTAGCCGCCCCCCGCCCCCATTCCATTTTAAACAAGGTTTTGATTTATTAATTTTCATAGGAGATGAAATGGGTGGGGCTCTGGCAGTTGGCTACAGATGGGCTTTCCTTCTTCTAAATTATGATATCCTGGGGTTTCCCACCCTACCATTGATTCAGTGGAGAGGGGAGGGTGGCCGACATATGGGTACACATGCTGTCCTCGGCCTTGTAGGTTAGTCACAGAGGACAGAAGGATTCATGTGTGGATTGGCTCACACCCAGACACCATCTTGAGTAAAGAAAGCGGTGGGGGGCACAGAAAGATGAACCTTTTATTCAAAAAATACTACAGGCATACCTCTGAGATACTGAGGATTTGGTTTCAGACCACTGCAATAAAGCGAATATGGCAATACAGCGAGCCATATGAATTTTTTGGTTTCCAGTGCATATAAAAGTTATGTTTACATTACACGGTAGTCTATTAAGTGTGTAATAGCATTATGTTTAAAAAAAAGTACATACCTTAATTTAAAAATACTTTATTGCTAAAAAAATGCTAACCATCAACTAAGCCTTCAGCGAGCTGTAATCTTTCTGTTGGTAGAGGATCTTGCCTCAATGTTGATGAAAACAGTATCTGCAAATGTAAAAAAGTGAAGCGCAGTAAAATGACGTATGCCTGTACTTACTTAAGTGAGACTGTTTTAAACTGGAAGAGACTTAAGTTTTATGTTAATAATTAGATTTATATATTTTTTTCTCAATAATAGATAGTGGAGGCTCAAGAAAAAAGTTGTCATGTAGAAAATAAAGAATCTGTACTTTTTTTTGCACCTATGAGTTGAAGAAGGTAGATTTCAATCCTATCACAGATATAATCTCCATGAGGTCAGGGCCTTTACCTGCTTTGATCATTGCTACATTTGTAGCTCACAGCACTGTGCTGGGCACAGAAAAAGATGCTAAATAAATATTTGTTGAATGAATGTATGCTCTGTATATTCCTGCCAGTGGCCCCTTCCCTTCCGAGATCTAAACCATTTAATTTCAATTAGTTTATTGCAGCTTTACCCAAAGCTGGGCAGGAGTGCTGTTTTCTCTCGGACAATTAAGCGCTTTAGTAGAGAGCCAGGGTGTGAGCGGCTGCTCTCTGTGCCCCATGCAAGCCTGGATGGACTCGTAGAGAATGGTGAGACTGTCAGAACACTGGCTGGTAACTGAAGGGCTGTGTGTGTCCCTTCAATTTAATGCCCTCTTAATTAGCATAAATAATGGCTGGGTTGTCCTTCACTGCCACTTGACTCGTTGCTGTCTCCAAGGCTCATTATGATCAGGGATGAACAGCGCTCCTCCGACCTCTTCTCTCCTCACAGTCATGAAGTAGAGCTGGATCCCAGGCCCAGCACTGCCACTTTGTAGTTGGGTGACCTTGGGTGAGTCGCGTTCCCTCTCTAAGCCTCAGATTCTTCATCTGAATGGTGCAGCAGCCTTGAGGATGGCTCTAGGCTTTTCTCTCTGCATCACCTCTCCTTATGGTACAAACATATGTGACTCTTCTACATTGCAGGCCAATACCTCTTCACCCACAGGGATTCCCTTAATGATGTGGGTCTGGCGTTAGCCAGACCTTAGTCCAAATCCTCGGTTCAAATTTACCACCTCCTTCTGGCTGTGAGGCTTTAGATAAATCACTTAACAACTATGAGCTGCATTCTATTTTCTAATTAAAAAAAAAAAAGACTTCCCCTCTCCCCCGCACATACACACACATCCCTAGATGACAGGCACTGTCCTAAGGCTGCAGAGTTTGAATCCTGGATCTGCTGCTTGTTAGCTCTATGATCTTGGGCAAGTAATTTAACCTCTTTGACTCTCAGTTTCCTCATCTGTTAAATGGGAGTAATAATAGCATTTTCTTCCAAGATTGCTATAAGGAGTAAGTGAATTAATATATGTGAAACACTTAGAACTGTGCCAGGAACACAGCAAGTGCCAATAAATGTTTGCTGTTATTATAGCTACTATCTCATTGAAACTTTACAACCTACTCTGGGAAGAAGTCTGACTTTCCCCACTTCTAAACTGAGAGTAAGAATACCCACAACATAGGGTGATTATGATTATGACAAGTAACAGGCAAAATAACAATAGCTAATATTTATTATTACCATGAACCAGATATGCTATATGAGTCATCAATGTGCTTGACAGCAAGAAGCAAAGATCAAAAGTAACAGTGACACAGATATATGGGGCTTTATTTATCTCAAATAAGGAGTCTGGAGGAATCCAGGCTCTTTCTGTTTTTCTGCTTTACCATTATTTTTTTAAATTGGGGGAATTGGGGGGATGGGAACAGTGCTGGGGAATTGGGGGAAGGGGAACAGACAAGTTACTGTCCTTTTGTTCTTCAGTCTAGTTGTGGAGGATGTTGCTTCACTGGCCCAAGTTGGCACCATCATTGCGCTCTTCCCGGGAGAGGCACATCAGTCGCCGGCTTCTGGACTGTCACTCACTGTGGCTGCTGGCCCCTCACGCTGACAGCTGGCTACACACAGTAGACCATGGCCACCCACTGCAGCAGGGGCTGCAGCCTACGCCGTCCCCAGCGACTCACAGCAGCCCAGCTCCAGGTTGAGCTGTTGTTCAGCATCTTAGCAGCAGAGCGCAGTGTCAGTGGCCCTCACATGTGGGATCTGAACCGGGGCCCTCTGGCGTCCCAAGCCAGCTCTTAACCAATGCGCCACTCGGCCGGCCCTGCTTTACCATTCTTATCAAGTCAATCTTTGCTCTCAAGATTTCAAGATGGCTACTGTGCCTCTGTGCATCACATCTCTGTTCCAGGCAGAACACGGGGGTAAGTGCAAAAGGCTGAAGAATGTCAGTTGAGTCTATCTCTTAAAAAAAAACTTTTCTGGTAAATAACTAAGCAACTCCCATTTGCATAGCATTGGCCAAAACTCTGTCACTTAGGTTGTATGGGCAACCCTACCTGCTAGGGAGCCTAGGAAATCAAGCCAGCCTTCATAGCAAGGGAGGCTGTAAACAATTTAGGGGTAGCCAAAAACATACAGACAAATAAATGAGAAGACTAAGAATACCACAAAGGAAATGAACAAGAGGCCAAACTAGACAACATCTTTAGGCGGGGTGTTTGGGGAAAACCTCCTAGAGGAGGTGTTATTTAGGCAGAGACCTGATGCATAAGAAGGAACCAGAAGTTAAGAGGTGGGAGAAGAACCTCCCTGGCTTTGGTCTCAGTGTCACCATCCCTCTAATTTGGTTTCTTTTCCTTTTGAAGTGAAACAGAGAGGTCATCAAACAACACAAGTGGAGTTACAACTGCTGGTCTGGCAGAGCCAGGATTCAATTCAAACTCTGCCTTGCTCTCTGGGATTCTGTTTCTTAGGTGGGTTCTGGCAGAAGTGATGTGAAAAATACAATCACGAAATCACACGTAGGAAGACGCATGGAGAATTTGGCCAGTTCCCAGCCTTTAAGGAAGTCTATAGCTGAGGACTGAAGGGCAATGGTCCTCGTGTGCTCTAGGAAGACCCCTCCGGCTGTGCTATGGAGGCTGGAACACCGATTTAGCTGAGGGTTTCAGACAGAAGAAATATTCAGGAGGACCACCACCCAGATCAAGTTATAAAACATTTCCTGCACCCCAGAAGGGTAAAGGTACTTAAATTTAACCTTTCTTTAGGTGGGAGTGGCACCTCCACCCTAGACTCACCCTCATGGCGGCCTGTCTGCCCAGTCCTAGCCCAGGCAGTGAGGAGCAAACCTCGCCTGGACTACGCACTTGGTTCCTTGAAAGTGAAAATACTTGGGGCTCCTTCCTACTTGGTCTCTTCCGCATCCCTCGGGCACCACCCCCCGCGGATTTGTTTGGGTCCCATCTCCTAGGTCCCTCCCACCTTCAGCACCACCCCCGCGAGCTTCCTTTGTGTCACGCCTCCTTCCGGCTCCTCCCCAGAGTGGCCACCTTTGGGCTCCCTCCTCTGGTCGGCTTCCGGGCCCTCCTCCACCGGCCTCGCTTCAATCTCTCTTCCCTTTTGGCCCCGCCTCCTCCAGCCTCGCCCGCGCCTCCTCCTACCTTTGACTCCTCCTCTGGGCACGGCCTCCCTTTAGCCCCACCTACAGCCCCCCCACTTTCCAGCACTGATCCGGCTCCCGGGTCTGCAAGGCCGGCACTGTTTTACATACCTGCCTTGCGCTCCTCTCCTCTCCGGCAACAGCACCCTCTCAGTCCCCGCCCACCTTCCCCTCCACACTGGTGTAAGCGAGTCTCTCTTCCCGCCCTTAGCCCCGCCTTCCCAGGCTTCCACCTCAGTCCCTCTTTCCTGTCAGACTCCGCCCCGGCCCCTCCTCTCTCCTCTCCCCGCCGAAGCTCTGGACCTTTCCAAAGCCATGTTGAGGGGGTGGATAGAGCCCATGTGCCTGGGAAGCTGGGCTGTGTCAGGGCGGGGCTGGGGACTCCACGCGCTTGTATTACCGTGTCCTTCCCTAGAGACAGAGGCGGGGTAGAGGGAGGGTCCCGGGCCAGGGCCGGAGCGGCGGGCGGAGCCGAGTTGAGGGAAGCCGCTCCGGGAGCCCTCACCCCCGCGCTCGTCAGTGGTACCGGCCGAGGCAAGGACTCGCGGCTGCGGGGCTCGCGCCGCTGTCAGTGCGGCTGGGCGCGGAGCGGTGCGGGCGTAGGGTGGTTAGAGCTGAGAGAAGCTGAGGGGGCGGTAGCGGCGGCGGGGGCGACTCCCGCGCGTGTGCTCAGCTTCTCACCCCGCGGCCGGGTCCGCCCTCTTCCTTCCTCCCTCCCTTGTGCCCCCGAGTGCGGAGGCACCGCCTTCTTCCGTGCGCGCGGCTTCTTCCAGACCTCTCCGCGCGGGTGAGTGCTGGCCGCGGGCGTCTCCTTAGGGGTGTGGGGAGTGTTCCTTGTTCCTTTTCTGTCGCCCACTTCGTCGCGCGGGCCGCTGCCTATTTTTAGAAACTCTTTTTTTCGGCCATTCTTGGAGTCCCGGGAGCCCAAGTAACTCCCGGCCCCCTCCCCCCGAACCTCCCCCCACCCGGGCCCGAGGCCGTGGGTCGCCGGCCCGGCCCATCCGCGCCCGCTCCCGGCCGCCCTGGCGTTTCCTGCCCACTTCCTCCCCGCGGGCCGGGCCTGGGCCAGGAGTTGGCGGGGTGGGCCTGCGCCCGCTGGGAAGTTGGAGTCTTTTGTGCTCGTGCCGCGCCCCGCCCCGCCCCGCCCGGCGAGGGGAGGGGAGAGGGAAGCTGAGGCCACGCTGGGGAGGCCCTGGGCTGGCCGGGCCCCGGCTCTGGCCCCGTCCCCGGGCTTCTTCTGGCTTTCTCTCGCGGTCTGGGTCTGCGGGCTCCCGGTGGCGCGCAAAACTGGACCTGCCTCGCTCTCCACGGGCCTGAGCGCCTCCTCGGCCCTCACTTTTGCGGGTCCTGGGCTCTTTGCACACCTTGGGCTTGGAGAGGATCCACAACAGGCCCTCGAGCTGAGGTAGTGTTCTGCACTTAACGCAGCCTCCTTCGCAGCTGAACCTCAGTTTGCTCTTCTCTGAAATGGGGGAAAGAAAGTCGCTTCGAAGAGTGTTTGTGGATTCAGGGAGGAAAATTAATATATGAGAGAAGTGTTGAATACCAACAGGTAACATTTAATGAACTTCACTCCAGAACTTCTTAAGTCATACTTCGTTTAATGCCCACAGCAGCCTTCTGGGATTATCTCCATTTACAAAAGCAGAAATCAAGGCTGAGAGAGGTTAAGTAATTTGCTTCAAATCACAGTTAGTAGCTACAGAAGTGTAAAGCTGTGGTGCTAGTACGTGTTATTTGTTTCTTAGTGTGAGCTTCTGTAATCTCTGCAGAGGGAATTTAACTTGGGTCACTCCGTTAGAGACATAACTCAGTTCTGCCTGACTCCTGGGCTAGTGTCCACTATACTATGGATGAAATTCTGGGGCTACTGGATGTCCAAAGGAAAGGAAGGGACTATGAATTTCTTGCTAGTCTTGTCCATTAGAAGTTGATGGATGCAGGAGACTCCAGATCTGAAGCACAGCTCAAGTTCCCTGGGATTTTGGCTCAAGGAAGGCTTAAGTCATTATAAACAGTGAGGCCATCCTTTATTTTGTTTATGTCATATTCCTTCCCCCAAACCTTGCATGTTCTCTATAGTGTTCAGATTTATAGCTCTTAGTTGGGGAAGGGGAGCAGGAAGTGGCTCAAGTCAACTGCTTCAACTCCTTACCTTCAAATAGAGTTTTCTCGTATTTTCAGATAAGGCCCAGAGAGGGGTAAATGTGAACTAAAATTAATTTTGGCAAGTGTTCTAGTTTTCTAATGTGTTGGATCCCCAGTGTGGGGAGTGTCCGAAAATCATGTAGGGGATCTCGTTCCTAGGCCAGGTCTTGAGAAATCTGATGCATTAGTTCTTTGGAGTCGGGAGGTCTGCTATGCTCTCCCCTTTCCAAGATTCTGGATTTAGGAGTTGTGGTATGTAGGATTCTTACAGATCATCAGATCCAACTTTTTTTTTTTATACTTTATTTTTTTTAACTTTATTGGGAAACTGTCTTTCCCAGGACCCATCAGCTCCAAGTCAAGTTGTTGTCCTTCAATCTTAGTTGTGGAGGGCGCAACTCAGCTCCAAGTCCATTCGCTGTTTTCAGTCTAGTTGGGGGGGGGGGGGGGGCCCACCATCCCATGTGGGAGTCAAGCCGGCAACCCTGTTGTTAAGATTGAGCACAAGCTCTAACCAACTAAGCCATCCTGCCGCCCCTGATCCAACTTTCTTATCTGCCTTTCCTGCCCTTCCCTGTTAACTGAACCTTGGAAAGAGGAAGTTGTCTGAATTCACAGACTACCTTAATGACAGAATCATAGCTAGAACTCCCAGTCATTTGCCTTCTGGTTCAATAATATTTTTATTTCTACCATATCTTGCTACCTTTTGAAACTAATTTTGCAGGCCTTAAGACCAGGAATCCTGAGTAAATTGAAATCACAAGGAAGTTATATAGCCACTCTCCATGCCTCAGGTTTAGCATTAAAAGGAGACCAGGATTTGTGCATAGGTGTACTAGTATTCATAAGTCACCACTTTTATTGTATAGTACTTTATTTATGGTTTATAGTACTCTTCTGTAACCATTATCTGAATTCATTTCTAATCCAGTCCTGTGAAGGAGTTAGAGAGTTTGGTTAGGAGTTAGAGAATTGAGACACAGTAAGGTTAGGCTGCTTGCTTTACTTAGATCACCGAATTAATAAATGATGAGGGCAGGACACCTCTCATGGGCAGTGGATTTGATGTGACATCATGAACTAAGCCTTACCTCACTGTGGCTCTCTGAACCTCAGTTTCGTTATCTGTAAATTCTCACAGGGTTGTATGGGGACTATGAGAAATAGCTGTTTAAAAAGTACATTGTAGTAGCTGTGAGCAGTAGGAATAGTAGCTAACGTTTATTAAGTACTTACAATGTATCCGTCACTGGACTAAGGACTTTCTGTGGAGCATTTCATTTAATCCTTAAAGCAACTGTATGAATTAGGTACTGTTATTATCCCTGTTTTACAGAAGAAGAAAATGGTTTAGAAAGGTTACATGACTTGCTCAGGGTCATGTAATTGCCAACTGCAGACAATATAACTTTAAAACTGGTGTGCTTTATTTTGTAAAAATATACATTAACCATTTTTAAATGTACAGTTTTGTGGCTTTAAGTAATTCACATTGTTGTGCAACCATCACCACCATCCATGTCTAGAATTTTTTCATCTTCCCAAACTGAAACCCTGTACCCTTTAAATACTAACTCCCTATTCCCCTCTCCCCCAGCCCCTGGCAACCATCCTTCTATTTTCTGTGTTTATGACTTTGACTACTCTATACCTCATGTAAATAGAATCGTACAATATTTCTCCTTTTGTGATTGGCAAAGCTGGCACTCTTAGTGCCTCCCTTAACCTCTGGGTGCTCTGTAAATGCAAAATAATTATTAGTCTATATCTGCAGTAGGGTGTGGCATGCAGCTGTAGAGTGGGAACCCACGCCTGGTTGTACTTATGGTTAAGCTTCCTCCTCTTTTTCCCCCACTCTGTGGATTGTAGTTCCTTATCACTGAATTCTTTCTGGAGATCTCTACTCGCCCCTTCTGTATCTTCCAAAGCAGAGGTCGGCAAACTGGCTTGCGAGCCACATGCGGCTCGTTGGGTACGTTCCGTCTCCAAAGTTTGCCGACCCCTGGAAGAGCCAATCCTGCCCCTCACAACCATTTAAAAATTATTTGAAAGCCATAAATATATTTTTACATAATCACCATTATGTGAATAATATCCTTTAAAAATTTTATAAATGAAACTATGATAGTTTTATTTTCATTTTCAGTTTTACTTCAGAGCCACATGTACGTACCCAAAGAGCCGCATGTGGCTTGCAAGCCACAGTTTGCTGACCCCTGGCGGCTCTTCATGTCTCAAAAGTTTGTTGACCTCTGTTCCAAAGAGACCTGCTACCCTTGAAATATTTATAGAACCCAGAGGACTCTTCACCCTTGTTTTGTTTGTACCTGCCTTTCTGACTATCCAGGGTTTGGGCTATAGGGCTGCAGTGATCAACAATAGCAGTGCTATGACAGCAGCTTAAATCAGAACTATTTAGAGAACGATTAAATGGATTATCTTTATGAAATGTACCCTCTTTGTGCCTTCTTTCCATAAAGACACACGAGGGATTAGCTTTTGAATTCCTAGAGGGTATTTATGGTTCCTCATTGCTTGCAGGTGGTTAATATTGAGTTAAGTTTTGCATTAACCTCTCAAAGTTCCTTTGGTTTGACTGTTTCTGTGTCCTTGTGTTTGGGGGTGTGTGTGTGGGCGGGGAGATGGGATGTGTGGTGTTTATGTTTGTGAAGGGTAGTTGGAATTTTGTCCTGAAACCAACAGGGGGTGGGAGGTGGTATAGAGATGGGTAATAGGGCAACCAACAGATCTGAGGATGTTGCACTTTCTTTAAAAAATCTGACGGTCCAACATTTCCTACATGTTAAAGTCCAGAGCCCTGAGTGTAACCATTCAGAGTGTGTTGAATTGTTTATTGGCTAGAATCTTGTAGTTGAGAGTCTTTAAAGTCATGCAGACCAGCCAGCCACCTGGCCAACATTTGAAATGGCTACCTGTTGAGATTCTGTTTCATTGGACACCTAGTTATTGGGTTCCATCACTGAACAATTATTAAGCATGCCACGCATGGTACTAAGCTTGGGGATTTGGGTGTCTACAGCCTGGTGGGGAAGACAGGCAAGGAAACAAGCAGTGTGAGAAGTGTTGTGACAGGGACAAGCACTGTGAGAGCACAGCGGAATAATAACGAACCCGGCCTTGGAGGGTAAGGAAAGTCTTCTTCAGAGAAGTTGGCTAAGCCTAGACCTCAAGAAAAAAGTAGACATAGCCAGGAAAAGAGATGTGGGGAGTCAAGGAGACAGAGATAAGACTGTTCAAAACAGAAGGAATAGCAAGTCTGGAGATGGTGGGGATAGTAGGTGAGCCTTTTGGCCCTTTTACTGTATCTACCAAGTACTATTCTGAGCATTTAACGTGTGTTAACTTATTTCTTCCCATAACCACCTTGAGAGGTAACTAGTATTATTCCCATTGTGTAGGTGAGGAAACAGACCGGGGGTAGGGGTTAAATAAGTTTCTCAGGATTCCTGAGTGGAGCATAAAGCATGAAATGGGAGGATGTAGCAAGAGATGAAACTGGCAAGATAGACAGAGCAGAGGCCAAGTCATGTAAGGGCCTTGGTGCCCAGGTTGAGGAGTTTGGACTTCATTTCAAGGTGAGGGGGCCGTGATCCTGTGTGCATTTTAGAAAGATAT